CCCCCCCCTGGTCTCCCGGGGGGTCTCGCTCTCCTTCGCTCGCACCTCTCCTTCGATACACACAACCCAACCATCTTTGAAGCTGAGTCAACAAACACTTGGGTCTGACTGGACGGATGTCACCGGGTTGTACACAGACACACTCACTCACACACACTTACGCGCGCGCACACACACACCTACTCACACACGGCCGGTATCGATCCGTCATGCGGCTCGCTTTCCTCAAAGCACACCGCCCCGATGCGCTTCGGCCGCTGCTATCGCGGTAATCCCGCTGTAAATCACAATCGGCCGCTCAGCCCACCGCGCGTCGGCCGTGGAGAGAGAGAGAGAGAGAGAGAGAGAGAGAGAGAGAGAGAGAGAGAGAGAGAGAGAGGTGCGCACCGTGCAGGTGTGTGTGTGGGTGCGAGCGAGAGGGCTGCGGACGCGATTTAGCCCGCCGCGCCGTATCCCCGTGTCCGCGTCGCCACTTGGCGTCTGATAAAGTGCTGCCCGCGCGAGGCCGTCGCCGTCACCATTCCAAACACGATGAAACTCGAGGTACTTTAATTTTGTCATCATTAAAATATGATATAGTGCTCTTTTAAATGAGTACACTTTGATTCTTATTTTGACCAGTATGCTATTAGTGGTGGCAAGAACGCCGTCGCCGAAAATCTGACCAGGACCGCGCGGGCCGGGCTCAAATGGAGTGGAAAATGGGCTACACCGGGTGTGGCTCGTGTAGTAAATCCGTTATCGGTTGTTTGGGACCGCGCGCCTGTGTGTGTAGGTGCGTGTGTGTGTGCGTCCACTGTGTATCAGCGTCGCCAGTTTCTTTGCCAGCGGTGTACATTGTATCAGCACTGTGCAAACCGAACCGAACACATGTTCTCCTCCCCCCCCCCCTCTACCAGCCTCCTCCCGATCCCCTTCCCCGCTCTAAATCCCCCTCCCCCTTTTGCGCGCGCGCGAAGGCCCCCCACACACAGCTGCTGCAGCGGCCAGGTCGGAGCAGGGGAGATAAGTGATAGACTGAGGGGGGCGGGGAGGGGACGGGGTAGTGCGTAGTAAGCCCCCCTCCCTCTCTCTCTCGCAGCTTTCTCTGCTGCTGCTTCGCGGAGGCCGTGATGCTCACACACTCACTCTCCCGCGTGGAGCGACTCTCCTCGACTCTCCTCGCTCTTTCGCGCTCTCGCTCGCCGCCTCTCTCCCGTTCGCGCCAAACCACAGGGCGGTGTGCGTGCATTATTGATATGTGGATGGTATCCTTCAGCCGCTCCAAACTTTTTCAAAGAAAGTAAACTTTAGGTTCGGCGTGCGGGGCAGGGGGTGTGCGCTGCTCCGGCCTGCCTCCTCTGCGCCCTCGGCCCCTCCTCTCGTACCCCGTTTCGAAGGACAACAACCCTTGCGGGTGGGGGCGCTGAGTGGACGAGGTGGCGGTGGTGGTGGTGGAAGAGAAGGAGAGGGAGGAGGAAGAAGAAGTGGTAGAGGACGGGGATGATGAAGGAGGAGGAGGTCGAGCAGGAGGAGGAGGAGGAGGAGGCGGTGGCGCGGCGGCGCGACGTGCGAGCTTTGCTGTGTGCCGGCCGGTCGTCTTTGGCTTTAGATAACCTATCGGGGGCCGCAGAGGCGGACACACATTGGGCTGCGATTCGCTCTGATGATCCGCGCGCGCCCCGAGAGCGTGATTGCATGCATTAGCGCCGGCTATCTGTCGCCACCGCGGCATTCCGAGAATGCAGCGCAGAGGGAATTCCCTAAGTTGATGCTGTTTTGTTTTGTTTCTTTATTTATTTTGGCGCTCATTTTAATTTACCCCTGATTTGAGTCCCTTTCCTTTCCTCTTGCACGGATGGGGGTTATAGGACCTCGCATTCGGCAGGTGTCATTCAGCTGGCCTTACATTCGTTCGCATTCGTTCGACGTGATCATGGCGCTTTGCTTTATTTCCTCTCGGACACGAAATAGGCCGCCGCGCGGCTAATCCCCATAAATAACGCCCCAATAGCGATAAAATATTCTGTTCCGATAAGTGATATCTGTGATTACTCGCGACAAATCCCACGGCCTCCAACGATTTTATGGCACGACGGCCCAACGTGTCGCCATATAACTGTTGTGTTGGACTTGTGTGTCAGCGTGTGTCCCTGTGTCCGTGTGACGTGTGCCTGTCTGTGTGTGAGAGCTCGGGGGCACCCAGAAAACCGTTGTGCTGGGAGCCTTAACCAATGAAAGTTTGGCCCTAAACTAAATAAATTAGTAGTAAAGGTAAACAAGCTTTGATTGGTTCGACCCAATTTAGTGGAAAATTAGGGCACTGAAGTTTTAATTGTT